TAATAAGGTACTTTTGAAATATGAATTGACATAACATTTTAAAATGAGCATAACATCAGTATCAAATGAGCATACATAATTTACCAAATAAACAATGATATGAAAATCATAAGCTTTGTTAGTTGATCATCAAAACATTTTCATTGAATATCAAACCTCCTCTATTGATTATCATAAGCATACAATTGAGTATCATGATTTCTAACACGTGTATATAATCTAACTCTTATGTGAATCTTATATGATAATTTTGAAATATGAATCAAAATGGCATTTTAAAATGAGCATAACTCAGTACTAGATGAACATAAGTAACTTACAAAATGAGAATCAAAAAATTCGAAGGATCGTTTGAATTCTCTAAAGTGTTCAAATGTTCATTTGTGCATGTTTGTTTCACTATACTCATTTTAGTATAATAAAAAGTCATTTTAGTATAATAAAAAGTCATGACGGTATTAACACACAATGAATACCTAAAACATTAATGAACAAATTCAAAAAACTTTAGTTCCAAATTACAATGTTGATTGAAAGAAGAAGAAGAAAACAAAGGGGTTTCACCCTTAATATTACTAAATAAAGGCCATTTTCCAGAAATGTGACCACATTTAAATTTTGACAAAATGTGACTAAGATAAAGTGACAATAAAAAAATTCATGTCACTGTCGAATTTTCATGTCACTTTCGGATGTCACTACCGCCATATCACTTTCGTCGTCATCGCCGCCCAGACATAGTGACACCACCACAATGACGCCGCAATAGTGACACCATCACAATGACGCCGCCAGTGCAGAGTGACACTCGATTTTACAGTGAGCCCCCATCGGAAGTTATTCCGACCGCCCTTTTTCTGGCCATCACTGCAGCAGGCACCGCCCACGCTTGTGCCCTCCCACTGCCCCTCCCTGCCCGTCGGAGCCACCACTCTGGCCGGCCACGCACCCTAGCCCTAGTCCCACCACACCCCAGTCCCAGTGCTACCGCATCCCAACCCCACCACAACTTGCATCAGTCCTACACGATCGTTGCCAAGACACTGCTCCTCCCTTTTGCCCCTGCTGCTGGACCACCTCCGTTCCATGTCACAGAACCACCTTCGCCCCCTTTGCCTAGGCAAAACCAAGCCACACCATCGCCTCCCTCGATCAGATCTGAAATCTGAATACCTACACCGTAGACGCCGTGGATACAAAAATACTGCGTAAAGAAAAAGAAAGGTGGGAAACAAAAAGTAAAAGCAACCTAGGATTCCCGGAGACTTACGCAGAAAAAACAAAAGATAAAACAAAATAAAAAAAAGAAATTAAACCAAAATCAGCAAAGAGACGACGGCAACAAGGCATAAAGAAGAATAAGAGAAAGAGATCAACACATCTATTAACCTGAAATTTGGAATTATTTACAAAAATGTCGGTTGTACCATTAACTGTAAATGTATGATGTCATTTACGACAGTTTTGGCGTTGTTGATATCCTAGACAAGGGATCCATTGCATACATATAGATAGAGTACTTCAAAGATTTGTTGTGGGAGATCCTAGTAGCAAGTGAGATTGAGTATACAACACGCATAAACTTATATATATTCCTATTTTTATATTCATTTTAATCTTGTCAAAAATATCTCTCATAAGGCGTGGCCATTCATTTTGTGCAAAGTCAGCTACACAATCTCTATCAGTATGTCCTATATATTGATCACTGTACTCACCTCATTCTTAACCAATTATTTTTCTTAATATTTGTATTCATGTTTCCAGTTATTTTTTCTATTTTTGCAAATAAACTCTATACACGCGTGTGTGGTGACAAAATTGCATATAATAAAAACACAAGAAAGAAAAAAACAATGAGAAACAAAATATGAAAATTCATCAACAAAAATAAACAAAAGGGAAAAAAGTAAACATATAAAAAATAATGCAACAAAGGCAACATAAAAACAGGGTCAAATATAGGAGGAACTTCCCCAATTCACAACCTCGATTCAATTTTGTAACATATTATTATTAGGCTAAAGGGTCAAATAGGTACATGAACTAACTTAAAGTGTTCAATTAGCCCCTTATATAGAAGGTTCTGCCCGACCGTCGCCAATTGGGGCGGTTCCCGGTAAAAAGATAAATTTTTTTGAGCATATTCTTCATTAAGTCTAGTTTACGCATACCAAATTTCAGCTAAAAATTCAACCTGGAAGGCAGTCAAATGATTTTTTGAAGATAACTGCGCAGTTAAACAACGCAGTACATTTCGGAAAATCATTTGACCGCCTTCCCGATTTAATTTTTAGCTGAAATTTGATATGGGTAAACTAGACTTAATAAAGAAGATGCTCAAAAAAGTTTATAAAAAATTGTTACCGGAAACCGCCCCAATTGGCGACGGTCGGGCAGAACCTCCTATATAAGGGGCTAATTGAACACTTTAAGTTAGTTCATGTACCTATTTACCCTTTAGCCTAATAATAATATGTTACAGAATTGAATCTAGATGTTAACATTTACAATGTTCCAAATGCACACAAAATACATAAATATTGCAATGAAGGAACACATTACTAATTTTGAAACAATTTTTTGGTAAACGACATTAGTTGAACATCTTGGCCATTTTTATAATCATTAGTGCATCTGATAGTCTAGTACTTCTTGCCCATCACACTTCCTGCAAAAATTTTGCTCCAAGAAGACGATTTCCAAATCGAGTGATTATCATGTTTGATCTGATTTTATTAATTTTATTAATATTACCCCGTATAAAATTATAAATATTAAAAATTATAAATAATATGAATATTAAAAATATGAATATTCTAACTTGTTATTCTAATCATGCACCAATTAAACATCCCTTTCAACTTTTCAAGGAGTATAATATTTTTCGGATGATTTAAAAAATATTAAAGTATATTTAGATTTCTTTGCAAAAAAATAAATATGTAAATTAAAATGAAATCATTACACGCTGTTAAAATAAAATCAGTTATTCATTCAAACACATATTCTTTTTTGTATGTTTTGGTAACCCGTTTAAGCCCACACACCAATTAGGCAATTATTATTAACATGTACTTTGTATATAAAGCATTATAAACCATTAACTTTCGGACCCAATTTCGGACCCAATTTAGATATCTATCCGGTTGACCTCCTTCGTGGATGAGTCGGTCTCCTCCGACGGAGACTCAGCTTTGCCGGTATACAGTATACTACCCGTGATCGATTTTCCGTTGATTGGCGACTGTGGCGAAGGAGCTTGTCATATTTCAGACTATTTTCGGTATACTTCCATATATTAATCTCAGTAGTTTGTTATCAACAAAAGCCTCAATATCTTTTGGAAATTGATTTTGGTCACTGGTGCTTATATCTTCTGCAATTTTGAACACTTCTGAAATCAAACAAAAATATGGTGCTTATTAATAAGCTTATTAATATGATTTCAACTACTGTATTTAATATTTATAGCTGAGAAATTGATTTATGAATTGAACCCTTCCACCTAATATCCAGAATGTATTACTCTGCACTAACCAAAAGCAAAATCACATTAACTAATTTGATATCTGACTTACAACTCATCATACCTTGCGTTGGAACCACAACATTTTTAAAAAACTAAATTTGTGAAGGTATCGATATCCAAGAAAGTTAGGAAACAGTTGACCTAGACACGTACTCCCTCGAGTTCTAAATAAAGTTCACACTTTCATTTTTGGGCCGGTCCAAAATAAATTTCACACTTCTTCTCCCTCTCTTATTTGGTAAATTATCTACATCAAAACAGTGCCAAGCAGTGTCAAACAGTGTCACGACAGTGTACTCTACAGTAAAGTCAAATTTATTTCCTTAATTTGTGTGAAGTCAAACACCGAACTTTATTTAGGACCGGAGGGAGTAGTAGATTATGATCTCGTTTGGTGACCTCTTTTTTCGACTTATCAAACTTATCAGCTAGCTTTTTCACCAAGTACGTAATTTTTGATTTCGCGAGCTGAAGTTTGTAATAAGCAGAAAAAGTAGAAAAAGTAATGTTGGAGTTACTTTTTTGGCTGTTTTGGTTGAATTTACCATAGAGGATCATTTTAGCTATTTTTTCATCTAATTTTTTATTTAATGTATTGATAACAAATATTTTAAATATAATTTTTTCTTAAATGAGTAGAATCAGCGAATACAGCCACTTCAGTCAAAACTTTATAAATTTCAGCAGAATCAGCCAATTCAACCAATTTTAGTGTTACCAAACGGGCTCCTCATGTGACTTTCTTGCTTTAGGATGATACAGAGTATAGCCTAAAAATGACTTTTAGCCAACTGCATTTATTGCTCCATTAAAACTTTGTCAAATTTTCCTTTTTGGATATCCATTAACTTTGTAATTTTCTCTTTTAAGTAAAAAATTGGCAAAATTTTGGGAGTAGTAATATAGCCTAAAAGTGGACTTTCATACGGAGTATCCTTCATAGAGATATTCTCATAGTACCCTAATATGCATTTATTGCGCCCACTATTTGAACGGTCAAAGCATTGACACAACATTAAATGTTTTAGCATCAAATGAATTATACTCCGTACTAAGATCCTACCCGTATCAGCTAACCCGACCCATTTAATACCTGAACTTTTGGGCGGGAAAATCAGCAGCTTTTTCACTTGGTTTAATATAAAGATAGATTATATTTAATTACATATTAGTAAACATTATAAAAATTAAATGTTTCGGAAGTTCAAGAGAAATTTTAGAATATTGTATTTATGATAATTTGATTATATAAATTAGTAGAAAATAATGATCAAATTAAAGTGTGTGAATAATGAAAATATCAAAGTGTTGCAACTATTAAAGAACATAAAAAGTATTTAAAACATATTTTATTAATAAAAGAAAGAAAAAGTGGTATGAAAAATAGATAAAATGGTCATCAACAGTAACTTCAGTCTTTTCAGTTTGAGAAACAATTTCAACGTTAATGATTTATCGTACGAAATCAAATGTTTCGTACTTGATGAAAAAGTTGACTTAACTTATAAACCGAAAAACAACATCACTAATTTAACGAGCTATAAATAAACAATCCTTAATTGATTTTCAGTGGTATCAATTAACAATGTAATCGTATATTCTAAAACACAATGTACTGCAGATATACAATACCTGATAATCAGTTCCAGCTAATTGCTTCGCCATAAAGCAAAGCTTCACCATAGAGTAATTACGGTTTGGACATTTATTATTGTTACAAACCCATTCCTTCATGCACTCGGAAAACTTATACACGTGTCTGAAACCCTAAATTCACTAAACATGAATGGCCGACATTATATACTCTTGGTACTTTGATTCATTCGTGCGTTAAACCCATAGATAGATCAATTTTACTCAGATTTAATTGATTAATTAGTCCTTAATTACTTGCTAGAGATGGAGAGCTATTGTCAAGAGTCGGAGAGCTTTCGATGTCATGACCATACCATCCCAGGCGCAACCTACGAGGTCTGGGATCCTGCCGCCGCCGTGGCCGACTACTTTGATAGTCCCTGTCACCGGCTTCCTCCTTTATCCGCCGACGCCGTCACTACACTTGATATCCTCTGTCACACGGAACATCATTATGTGGCTTTCACGGAAGGTGATGTAAGTTCACAACAACGGCCCATCGACATACTTCTTGAAGATTCCGAGGTCGTCACTTCCTCCATCCACGTTGACATCGGTGACCGCACAACTGACAAACTCTGCGACATCATACAGAATGAGCTGCTCAAGTGCAGCGGCGGCAGGTTGCGGCTGTGGGGAGGATTCGAACCCATGGTTTCTGGGATAGAGACGAAATTTAGCGACCTTGGCGCGTGCGAGGCGGTGCGCGTGACTGTCAACCTCACGTTCTACCACGTGTCATCAGAGAGAGCGATGATCCGGGATACGCGCCGCAGTTGATAGAGACTGGAGGAAACAGAATGAAACCGGCGAGCTGGTGGTCAATGGAGGATATGTTGAAGAAGTTGGATCTCGGCGAAGTAGTTGATGGCGGAGAGGAGAGTTGTGCGGTGTGTTTGGATTGTCTGAAAAGGGAGGAAGAGGAAGTTTTAGGGATGCCTTGTTCGCATGGGTTTCACGCCAAATGCATCCTCCAATGGCTGCGCAAAAGCCATTACTGCCCACTTTGCCGCTTCGAGATGCCTACCGATTAATCATTCCATCCCATATTACATTATTAATTGTTTGTAATAATTTCGAACTGATTTTTCTTGTACCATAACAATTCTTCGTGTATCAATTTAGTGCATATTATCTGCTTATTAATTGATATCTCAATTTCGTTCCATGACAAATATTTAATTTGTGGGCTATGATTAAAATAAAATTATTGCCTATTTTGGAAATTCATGATCAGTGATTGGATCGTGGATATAGTAAAAAATATAGTTATCAAAAATATAATAAAAAATGTTATTACTAACCAATGAAGTAGATGGATCGTGGATATAGTTCTCATCCATGTGCCTTTAGTTCTGATCACATTGACCTTGTCAAGATTTGTCTTTGAAGCCTGCAAATATTTTCCTCAACTGAACCATTTGAGGAATTTGACTATTAATATTTAATATTTGAGGAAGTTGATAACTCTTCTCATACTCACCTTTCATATCCTGAAGTTGATTCTATCATTTTAGTAGACTTTAATGTTAATCTTTGATGGATCTCTATCTTTATGAGCATATCAAAAGAGCATATTTGACATTCAAGAAAGGTAATATACCTAGATAGTGATTAAATAATGGGAGAACTATCAAATAAGTTCTCGAACTTTCATAAAAAGTGTAAATAAGCCCTTTTACACGAGGCTTTGTCCAGCTGTTGCCATTTGGGGCGGTATGAGTAAACTAGACTTAATGAAGAAGATTCTCAAAAAAATCATCATAAAAATCCACTGGAAACTGCCCCAAATGGCAACGGCCGGACAGAACCTCCTATGAAAGAGCTTATTGGCACTTTTTATGAAAGTTCGAGGGCTTATTTGGTAGTTCTCCCTTAAATAATTATAAGTCTATAACAGTAGAGTTCATATACTACTGGTAAAATACCTGAACAATACAACTAATTGCATGCCATTGGGATTGAGTAAGAGCCATAGAAGTTAGATGGGTAATGATAAAAAGTACCGAGGTAAGAAAATGTGGGTTTGGTAAATAGAAACAAAATAGATCAGAAGAGTTTCAAAGAAACCCATTCAAAAATCTTGACAGAACCAACAGACAAACATGTCTTTGCACTCATAGTGAATTTGATACGATTCTCAAAGCATTTCCATCACTAATTTAACTAAGTTTAAAAATAGTGTTTTGCAGTGTATTTTTTTGGGCTAAAATATAACTTAGGGGTAACTCTATTTTACTCAGCCAACTATACAATCATGTAATCAGAAACAGAAGTATATGCATCAACTATGGAAGAGTATGTTCCCGGAGTTCATTATACCAAGTAAATAAACCAGTTTACTTTTAAAATGGATGCCCACTTTATTATAAATAAACAAGATGTGCACTTTGTTAAGTTGGTCTTACCATATTTCTTAGAGTGGTGCCTGACTTCTTTAAAGCTGTGAAAAGAAATGTACAGAAACACAGAGGTTCAACATCTATTAAGTTTTGCCACTACTCTGATTTGAATCACTAACCTTTATGTAAATATCACTTTACATATCATGTTTTGTTTTAAATTACATTTAAAAACTTGACTGACAACTCGCAGTTTTTGGACATTTTTATCATAAAAATGTATATGTATAGTTTCATACTTGTACGAGAAACATGCATTGATGATAAATAACAAGCTTAGGGATCACATTTGTACAGTTTTGAATCTTCATTTTCAAAAATTGAAAGTATGTGTGTAAAAAATAGATGTAAACTTTTTTTACACCTCGATACTTCAATATTCTTTTATATATACTTAAGTTTCTCATCTATTATGTAACTGAGCAAATAAAAAATACAATAATAAGTATAATAGACAACATAAATTGCTTTCTCACATGTACAGGGTATATCAAGAAGAAATTAGAGCGCACAAATCCATCAAAAAGAGGTAAAGTAAAGATTGCATAAGGTGATGAGTATACTAATGCCAGGGGAGGAGCTGGGGGTCATGTAAAAATATTATGGCTCATGTAATTCATTACGAGTAAAAAATTATGACTTCTGAAAAATTAGCACTATCTAAACGTAAAATCAGCAAAATTTGATGCATACTACATATTATTTCCCGAATATTAAAAATAGGCTATAATTCACTCAATACTTACGTGACATGACTCATAAACAGAGCAACGGCAATTTATCTTATTGCTACGAGTGCCTGTTATCTAAACTGCATATGAAATATTCAACTCGGACATTGTTTAAAAATGATCCACCATTTTCATTCTGTATATAGGTTGAGTTTCGACCCCTCCGAGTCGTTTTTTGGCTCCACGACGGACTAACGCAGTATAGAGTAAACATTACGTTAATTTAATCCAATCTTCTTTTTCCATGTCTCCTCTCTCATACCTTCTTATTAATAGATTTTAGACTAGGATAGATTGAGACTGAAAGGCTTGATTCATTCCAGAAAATGATATCCTATTTATACAACAATCTAGAGACTAATAAGATAGGCTACTAATTATAATATTAAATACAAAGATTTGTAACTGATTTATAATATTAAATACAAATACTTCAAGTCGTGAAAGTACTGAAAAGTTATGCAATCAAAAAGTGAAAGATGAAGAATGCATCTTAAGCTGTCTTGGTGCTCTTAATTCACTAAATGGTATTGATGGGGCATCTTATGCAAAAGCAACCCAACATCTTCACGATGATGCGAGGTAGAGAACAATGTTTCTAGCTATGCCTGATGAGAGGAAAAAAGACTGGGTGCTTAATATTTGAATTATTTATCATGACTTTATCTATTATTGTTGAATTTTTTGTTTTACATTGTGTTTTGTTTTTATGATATAACTCATGGACTACTAGTTGTTTATTTTGATGTGGACGCGACTATGTATTTTGTTCAACATTGAATTGCTCGTACCTTGGCATTGATTTTATTGTCACATAGACTCATGGACACAAATTTGGATTCTCTTATAGATTCAAGATCTCATTAATAGGTTGAAACATTGCTAACAATTATGCTTAACCGTGAGTATAATCCTCTTTTCAAAGCTAAACCTCGACCGCAAAGGGTCTCTAAATTAACAGGCCATGAGTGGGTGATTGAAATCTCAAATGGTCATCCAGACACATGTTATGATTTGTTACGTATGGATAAACATATTTTCACGAATTTGTGTGAGGAGCTTAAAAGAAGAACCACAATAAGAGACTCAAAGTTTTTATCTGTACAAGAGTAACTGACCATATTTTTATTAATTATTAGTCATAATGGTAGACAAAGATATGCTGCAAATCGATTTCAATATTCTACAGATACAATTTCCAAGCATTTCAAAAAAAAGTTTATTTGCTATTTGTTCTATTTCTAAGCACTTAATCACTCCTCCGTCATTTGATGACACCCCTTCGGAGATCAATTACAACCCTAAGTATTATCCATCTTCAAGGTAATTTAAGGATAAATATATTGATAGAGTATATCTAGAGAGAAGTGAGAGCTAGAGAGAGAAGTGCAATAATATGCTTCAATAGAATGAATTTTTAACCCCTATAACTACTCCCAAGGGGAGTATTTATAGAGAAAATTAGGGTTGGGCTCCCAAGCCTTGGGCTTGGGAGGCCCATTTACAACTGGACCGCTACTGGGCCGAATACAAAGCCTCTAATGGGCTGTACAAATGAGTAAGTATAGGATCCGATTCTGGGAGGTCTTCGTGGCCGACGAGGGCGTGGCCGACGAGGGCACGGCCGACGAGGGCACCCGGGTTCCTTGGACTCAGGACCATGATCCGAGTTGGCTTCTTCTCGGCTGACGGGGGCGTCTTGGCCGACGAGGGTGCCACTCTGTCGTCTTGTGCTTTCTGTTCTTCCGAGTATGTGGGTCCTGGGGCTCAGACCCATATACTCCATCAGGAGTCCCCCACTCTCTAAGCTGAGATGTAGACGAAGTGAAGGAGAGTAGATTTCTGTGCTTTGTTGCTTTTGGCCGACGCGGGCATTTCCAGGCCGTTAGCCGTTAGCCGTTGCGGCGTTGGCGTTGTTTCCTCTTTGGTGATCCTGTTCTGTGCTTTGGCCGTTACCTGTTCCTCGCTGTGGGCGGGGAGGCCGTTGTTTCCTTAATTTGTTTTGGGACGATGAGTGTTCTTCTTTCAATGGTGGCCGTTGAAGGCGCGCTTTCCCTTTCCTGGCCGTTGGTGGTTGAAGTTTATGTTTGGGCCGGTGAAGCCGTTGAGGTTGTTCCTTGCTTTGAGGACGATGGCCTCATTTCCTTTGTGTGGCCGTTGCTGGTTGGCCTTCGTGTTTTTTGGCCGAAGAGCCCCTCGTGATTAAGTGATGGCGAAGGACGATGAGCGTCCTTGCCTTTGGTGGCCCGTTGGCCGTTGCAGATGACGTTGTGTACCTTGGGTCAACGAGGTGCAGTGTGATGCGTGGCCGATGTGGCCATGCTCCGTGGTTACCTTGTTTGCACTCTCTTTTGTTTTGTTGAGGCCGGTGTAGTCCCTCAGTCCCCCACTGCTTCAGGCCGAAGAGTGTGAGGGGTGAAGGAGTTGCTTGAGTCCCTGGCCGAAGCGGTTTCGCCGTAGTCCCCCTGAATCCAACTCTCATGGCGATTTTCTGGCCAAGGTAACCCTGTGGGAGAACCCTTGTGCACAGATCGCTTGTAGAGAGTTATCATCAAGGGTTATTACGAGGAGCCGAAGGCTGTGGGCTATTTGTCCCCTTTGTTCTGTGGCCGTTATGTTCCTGGCCGTTGCCATCCTCTTATTGTTTGGCATTTGTGATATTGGTGAGCAAGTGGGACGTTGTGGGTGCTTGCTGGCAGTTGTAAAGCCGTTGAGCGTGTGTAGGCCGTAGAGTCTGATTTGCCAGTGGTCCGTTGATGTGGCTTGGGCCTGGCTCGTTGGTGTCGTGGTGGCCTCCCATTGGTGGCCGTTGATGTGGCCATTGGGAGAGTGCCACGTGTAGTGACCGTTGGTGGGGGGGTCTATAAATACCCCGTCCCCTCCGACGAAGAATCACATTTGCATTCTGAATTTGTCGAAGTGCTGGCCGATTTTCTAGAGAGATAAACTCCCAAGCCCGTTCTTCGTGTTCTTCGTTGTTTGAGGTTAGTGTTCATCACGATCTTCCTCACTTTTCATATTTTGCTCCGTAAGTAGTTGATCTAGTGTTAGGCGTTTAAACACCTTTAGATCGTAAGTTGTTCTCCTTAAGTCCGTAGTAGTAGTAATGAAGAGCTTGAACGAGGACTACTACCCCTACGACGACCAGCCCTCCACGAGGTCCCTTGACTACGAGGTGCTCGAGGAGTTTGAAGAGGAGATAGAGCGTTTGAGCCTCTACAAATCCGGAGAGCTGATGGACGAGGGAGGCGAGGACGAGG